AAATAAATCATATATTATATATATATGATTTATATCCTCAATAAATTCTTTAATTATAACATAGCATGTACAGATTACTTGGGCAAAGGTAGATATAAGCCACTATAATGTCTATGAAAAATGCACACTTTGTTTTTTCCTTTCCTGTTTTAATAATTTTTTCTTGTCTTTTCAGTGGATAGCATCATCTCCTATACAATATTTTCCAGGATAGTGATAATACACAGCATTGATGATCCCAAATGACAAGAAAATTAAATTTACTAAGGATAAAAATCCTGATTACAAAAGATCACATGAAGACAGGGGTTTGTGGCACAGTACAGAAGAACAGCAGTACAGTTATCCATCTATAATGAAATAACATGAGATACCTTATTCAGAATGAATATTTGGTTAAATCCTGATAGCACTCTTTTTTCTAAACTATGTACCTACTGACAATAAAGAATCTCCTGTATTTTCAAATACCTTGAAATATATTTTGATATTTCAAATACTGCAAAGAAAATCCTAGATTACATTAAAAAATGATTCACCATTGTGTACAGTATAGATTGTTATGGATATTTTATTTTCTTTGTTTACAAGACTGGTGATTGAATCTTGCCCATTCTAGGCAAATACTTTACCACTGAGTAAGATACAGGTTCTAGATGCTGCTAAAATAAACTGAAAGATGTCGTTTTTATTCATGATCACTTAATATTTTTATAAGTGGACTTTGAATTTTATATCATATTCTTGCATCTACTAGGGTGATCGTATGATTATTCTCTGTTTTGTTGAAAGCACTGGAGTAGGTCTATTTTTATAAAATCCAGGTGAAATAAGACATTATATAAATGGCTTATAAAATTTTAACATACATGTATAACTACTACTATGATATAGAAATATTGATGCCCACAAAAGTTTTCCTGTGCCCCTCTTCAGTTTTAACCACATTTCAAGGGCCAAATAATAACTGTCAATAACTTATTGACTTTTGTACAGATCAATATAAAAAGAAAATTATGATCTACTCTCTGACATCTTTTTTTATCCAACATAATATATATATAAAAGATCTACCCATTTTGTATTGCTGCATTATTCTTTCTAAATTCTTTACAGTGAGCCATTGTATGAGTAGAGCACACACATTTATTTTTTTCAAACCAAATCGGTAGGACAGTTTCAATAATTAACACATTGCATAATTCTTCCTAGTGGTTAATTGCTGTTCAAGATGCGGACTTGAGATCCTATTTACAAACACTATTAGAACAAATCACTCTATTCATTAAGAGAATGTAACTATATATCTATCCTAACCACTTTGAATACACAGATACAAAATGGACATTCATCTGTATACCCTTTTTTTGTTAAGTTCCGTTATTTGAATATTATAGGTGTGTAAACTCAGCAAAATATTCTAAAAGAGTCCAGTAGTCCATAATAGTATTGGGTCTTCCACTTGACTGGCAATGTCAGAAATTGTTGACCTGAGTCCCCTACAGCTCAACATAACAGAGTGCCTTTACTACTTATATTTCATTTTTATACTTTTCTGCTGGATGGTTAAGACCAAGGTAAAGCAGGACCTATGCAACAAGAGTTGTAGCTTTTGGGTCGATAAGGTCAGCGAAATCCCCTCAGGATTTATCCTGAGATCCTGTACCTCTGACTGCAGAACCTTTGTCACTGTCAGCCATGTGGATGAGTCGCAGCCATTGCTTGGCCAATGCAGCACATATATTTATTCATTCACTTATATTGACAAGAATTTATTTGTTTCCTGTTGCAGCTATTATGAATAAGCCAGCTGTGAACATTCGAGGGCAAATGTTTCTATGGAGAACATATCAGTTTCAGCGATAAGTATAAGTGGGATTGATGAGTTATGTACTATGTATGTATTTAAGTTTTCATGAAAATGGCTGGAGGCTTGTGAAAGTAACTGTCTTCATTCTTACTTGTGTATGAAAGTGCTAGTTGCTTTACATGCTCATTCAATATTTGTTATGGTCAACATTTTAAATTCTAAATATGCTAGGGTGAATGAGTAGTGATATTTCAATATAATTTTACTTTACACTCTCGGCTAATTTCCTTCTCCATCTCATGGATGTCAAGATATTTTGCCATTTGCATTGGGCTGTTGATGTTACTGTTATTGCTGAAAATATTCTTTACATATTCTGAATCTAAAGCATTACTGAGTTATAGTTCAATTTTTTTCTCTCTGCTTCTGATTTGCCTTTTCACATTGTGCATTACTAACAGTCTTTCAATGAGCAGAAGTTTTTAACTTTACTGATGCACATTGTCTTAGTTAGTTTAAATATCTGACACCTAAAGTTAAAGAAAGAAAAGGTTTATTCAGCTTACAGTTTGTGGAGGCTTCAGTCCACAATCAGCTGGCTCCAAGGCAGGGTGGCACAGTGAG